TGAAGCATTTGATAAAGATCTAAAACTTTACGATTTCGAGTTCAAATTTCGAACGATGTTACAATATTTTACAATTGAATATCTTCAGAATGCACAATGCCACATTTTCCCAATCTAGAACGACAAAAGTCAAAACAAAATAGTTCAATTTTCGTGATTTATATATATATTTGTGACCTAACACTTCCAGTAGCATAGAAACATCGAAAAAAGTCGATGAAATGTTTGCTCATGGAGAAATTTGACTCCAATTACTAATATAGATCAAATTATATGTAGTATCTATTTCTAAAATTTGACTTTTTTCGTACCAGAATGTACTGAATGTGCAACTGTGTATACTGTGTAATATTTTACAATTGAAACTCTTCAGAAATGTTAAAAATACAAACTATAACAACAAGATACGATATACAACGATACAATGCTATGACACCGATTATGAAATGTACAAATATATTAATGTTCAAATAAAAAGGATAAGCTAATAATTCATATACAATTTACAGCTGAGATACTTCCTTATACAATCCGAATAGGACAATACTTTTAAAGTTAAAAACATTCACTTCCTATTTAAAGTTTTATCACTAACATTCCTAATATCCCCTCCTTACTTGTCTCCCACATACATAAAAGTTTCCCTTTTTAATTAACATTTAACATTGCAGTTCACCACCAAAAATTTGTTGGTGGTTGTTTTATGGGATTCCAAGCTCAGACGTTTATTTGCAATAACAAAGTTTGCAACAATACCGACTACCGGCACTAGTAGACAATAATGATTGTGTATACAATCAGGGCAAAGTGTGAGATGTTTAAAATTATCTGAAGCCTTTCTTCCCAGCAAAAAAATAATCTTAAATTTTTGGTAATGACCAGTAGTTATTTCATATATTATTTCGTAATGAGTGGTCTTTATCAATCACATGATTGCACACTAATTAGGAGTAAAGAGATGGGAAATTTGGATTTGTTTGGGGTTGGAGACCAACATAAATAGTTTTTACTTTACTTTCCTGCTTATCCGGTAAGTAAAGTTTTTGCTGGGTTACTAAGCCAGTACTTATTGGTACAATGACACTGAATATTTGTTTGTACTTTTCACTTTTGTTCAAGTTCAATTTTCATTCAAATGAATGTGCTGTCGTTATTGGTTGAGACATAAAACGGCATGGTCGGTTTGGTGGATAAATGTAATTGGACTTATAAATCATGTAAATTAGTCCTAGAAAAAACATTAGCTCATTGCTGGATATTGTATTTTATGTACAATATAATTTAGTTTAAACATGTTAGGGATACCAAATATGCTAATTTCATAAAGGGTATCGAATTATTATCTTTTGTAGAATATACTTTACAGACGATAAATTTTAACAGGAAATTAGATTTATATAAAATATTCAAAGTTAAACAAATATACATATTGTAAATTGTATTGTAAATTTTGTTATTTTATTAACTATGCATATTAAATACAATGGCTAACAAATATTTAACCCCGAGGCTAAACAACAATTACCTAAAGGATTGACCTACTCATGAATTCGCATCAAACTGAAGGTTAAGATATCTCGAAGAAGAAAAAATATGGAAAAGAGGTTAATACTTTATTTTAAAGTTGATAGATAGGACTTTTAGTTGACATTCCAAATTAAATAAAGGAGTCTTCGCGCTATTATAACGTCATAAATAGGGCCAAAAACTTAAAGACACGATATCTCAAAAACCTGATGTAATAGGGAAATTAAAATTTCTGTAGCAAGTAGCATGCGCGAACGAATAAAACAACTTGTCTGTTCAACTTTTATAACAAGACTGACTTCTCTATGCTTTATTAAGTATTTAGACAGTATTACTTTTACATAAAAAAAACAATGTGGAAAAGAATATAAGAAAACATAACTGTTGTTTAACGACAATGGACATGAATAAACAAGGATGAGTATACTTAAACTATACAGTTACATATAAATAATATATTAATAATAAAAAATGCTTGTTGGATAAAGGGAAACATGCCAAACGGGGAAGTATACCACATATTGGCTACAACTCGGCCATCCTGACAGACGAGATCACCTGATCTCGTGCCGGGTCAATACAATTTCGGCCCCTAAACCATGGACGGATATTCCCGATGGCCCATACACCCTTGTAAGGATTTCTTGACTGCTGGAAACCCTCGACATCCTCCAACAAATACCGATCATTCCTAAGAACCTTGGCTATTCTGTACGGTCCCCTAAATTTTGGAATCAACTTCCTCGACACACCCGCATGTGAGTCAAAATTCCTAATCATTACGTAGTCACCCACTGAATATTCTGTCCCCGGTCTTCTACGCTTATCAACATATCGCTTGTTGTAGTCCTGTAAAGATTTCTGTCTCCTAGAAGCCGCCTCCCTTACACAACCGTGGTCGACCTGTGCCCTGTGCTGAAGATCGTCAAGTATACATTCCCTTAGTGTATCCACCACCGGACCTCTCTGCCCTAAACCAAACAACATCACACTTGGGTGCTGTCCAACTGCCCTATGAACGGTGTTGTTCAAAGCATGCTCCACCTTGTCCAATACCGTATCCCAGTACACTCCATTCTCCGGGCGAACTAGTTTCGCCAACATTGGACCTATACTCCTGTTAACTCTCTCCACCTGTCCATTGGCCTGCGGAGAACCAGTCGCCACCTTTATATGTCGTATGCCGTACTCGTTCAAAAAGTCCTGAAATTCCGAAGAAGTGAACGCGGTTCCCCTATCACTCACAACGCATTTCGGGCGACTATATGCTCGGAAGTATTCCTTCATATGTTCCACTACCTCCTTTGTCCTCGTGGTTTTCGTGGGATAAAGCCTCACGAATTTGGTGGTCGCGTCGATAACAACCAAAATATGTTTCAAAAGTCTCCCATTGTCAACAGGGCCGTAATGATCAACGTGTATGACATCAAATGGAGCCGTAGATTTCGGAATACTGTTCAGAAAACCCTCCTCTTTCCCATGCTTATCCGAGTAAGAGATGCACTTCAAACAATTCTGAACATGATCGGAAGCCTTTTTCCTTATATGGGGAAACCAATAACCACCTGATATTAGATCCGTCATCTTGTCAACCCCAACGTGCCCCATTTCATCATGGTATCTATATAATACGTGACTTTCCATCGCCTCTGGTACGCAAAATAATACTACATCATCCTTATTAGTTTTCCTATATAGAATGCCATTTCTCATTTCATACATTTTACTCTGCTTGTTCTGAAGTTCCGCCTTTAGTTTTAGCAAACCTGGGTCCCTGTTCTGGCATATCACTAAGTTTTCCTCAAAACTATTACTCTCTATTACCATCACATGCAAACTCCTACTCAACGCATCCACATGCTGCATACGAGTACCAGCTCTATGTTCCAGTACATAATCATAATCCTGAAATTCCAAAGCCCACCTCGCTATCCTTGGGTTCATTTCCCTCCGGTTAAGAGTCATTGTGAGTGAGTTGCAATCAGTAACAATCTTAAATTTCCTCCCATGTAAGTATACTCTAAAACGTCTTAAAGCATACAAAATAGCCAGGGTTTCCAGTTCGAAGCTGTGGTACTTTGACTCTGATTCACTTGTCCTTTTGGAATAATAAAATACCGGATGCATCTTCCCATCGTCCTTCTTCTGTAAAAGGATAGCGCCAAACCCCGCACTACTGGCATCACAGTGTAATTCTGTTTCATCCTTAGGATCATACAGTGCTAGTACGGGACATCCCAATAATTTCTCCTTCAGAGCTTCAAAGGCCCTTAATTCATCGATTCCAAATTCGAAAACCTTATCCTTTCTTGTCAAATCCGTCAATGGCTTAGCAATAGTAGAAAAATCCTTCACAAACCTCCTAAAATACGAAGTGAGGCCAAGAAAGCTACGAACAGAATGTACATTAGTAGGGACAGGGAAATCCCTTACAGCTCGCAGACCCGTGTCGTCAGCTTTAATACCATTACCATCGATTTCGTACCCCAAATACTTAACATTAGTCCTCAAGAATTCACACTTATCCAACCGCAATTCCAATTTGTTATCCACCAAACGCTTGAACACTTCCTTAAGAATTCGGAAATGTTCCTCAACATCCCTAGTAGCTACCATAATGTCATCCATATAAACAATCAACCTTCCATCCCTAACCATATCCGCAAAAACCTTGTTCACAAACCGCTGGAACACAGAAGGTGCATTCTTCAACCCGAACGGCATTCTTAAAAACTCATATTGACCAAGTGGGGTAACAAAGGATGTGTATTTCACAGACTCATCCTCAACATAAACGTGGTAAAAACCATTCTTCAAATCCAACTTCGTAAAGAACTGTTTTCCCGACAATCGGTCCAATAGTTCGTCAATAAGAGGAATTGGGTAATTATCCCTTAGAGTCATCTTATTCAGGGTTCTATAATCCACGCCCATACGCAATTCCCCGTTTTTCTTCTTCACGAGCACAATAGGCGAAGCAAATTCTGATTCACTTGGCCTTATATATCCCTTCGCCAAGAATTCGTCCAGAATTGCCTGTAACTTTTCCCTTTCGTCATATGATAATCTTCTAGGCGTGCAATTGAACGGCCTCGGCTTGTCCAAATTAAGTTTAATCTCACTTCTCGTCTTGGGTTCAGATGGTCTTTCCGGGCCCACATATGTATCCAGAAATAACTCTATTAATCTTCTCCTGCCATCGTCCCCAACCTGTTCGTCTATTCTCAGGTCACTAGCCTCAGACATATTCCCACATTCAATAGACATAATTGCCCTCACAAAATCGCCGCCCCCTACATGATCATCCGTTCCCCGTTCCCCAACCACGGACCTCTTGTCAGCCAATATCAGTCCTACCTTGTCAAGAAAATCCCTTCCAAGGATACAATCAAAAACCATCACAGAATCATCAACAACAAATACATCAAGTCCAACATATTTATTTTCAAAATTCAAGTAAAGTAAAATGTTCCCAAAAGTTCTAAATTCAGTGCCATTTAGGCCATAAAAAGAAAAATTATCATTATTCATATGCTTCAAGCCAATCCTCTGTGATATCAGAGATTTCTTTATAAAGCATGCGGGACTCCCTGTATCCATCAGGCATTCTATATAAAAAGAATTTACAGAATTATCATCATAACTACACTTAAAATACCTTAAATATCTATTTTCTACCTCGGGTCTATCTGTCTTCCGTTCTGGGCAGGCAGCAACGAGATGGTTTAAGCTTCCACAACCATAGCAAGCACCCACTTCCCTCTTTGGTTTCTGACACTCACTCGCATAGTGTCCAAAGCAATTACAGTTGTAGCACCGAACACCAGATTCTCGCTTTTCTCCTTTGTTGTAAGTTTGCTCACGTCCCTTTAAGGATATCTTAGAAAAAGCCATCAAAAGCTGCGATTTACTCTGGAAACACTGCAAATTTGCGTGGATTTTCAAACTGTTATCAGGGATCCCCTCGATGACGTAGTCTATTAGCTCATCTTCAGGAATTCTCAAGCGCTCGGCCAAAACAACTTTGTCATTAAAATAGGTTATGAAGTCTTCATTATACTGCCACTTTCTATATTCGAACTTTCGTCGTATTGAAAGCTTATTTTCTTTATCTCCAAACAATTCTGTTAACTCGTCAAGCAGCTTATTCAGATCCTCGTGTAAGTAATCAGACTTGGCATGCAACCAGCATTGTGCTTTCCCTTTGACCTTTGACATTAGTAATGCCTTCACTGTACTTATGTCTACTGAATACAGCTCCATTATATTTCTTACTTGCGCAACAAAAATAGTTGGCGCGGTAGAACCATCATATTCTGGCAACAACTCCTTCAATAATGTAAAAGAAGTATTGCCACCACTACCAGAATTTTCCTTAGCTTTTACAATACTGCTCTGTTCACGCTCATTGTTGTTTTCTCTATATTCGCCAATGTTAACGCCTTCACCACCAACGTTACAACCATATGCAGTACTGCTATTATTTACTTCACCACTGTTGCAATCATTTTCGCCACTGTTTACTCCGTTCACTGTTCCACCACCACTATTATTTACACAGCCACCGCACTCATTTGTTAAACCACTGTCATCATTCGCACCACCATCTCTATCATTTGCACTTTGCTCATTTTCATTCGCACCACCGCTGTTAACGGTGTTAATTTCCACACCCCCACACAAGACTGTTTGTCTATATTTTTCGAACTCTTCCTTCTTTTTATAAAATTCATTCTCCTTAATCAGAAGTTCGTTCTCTTTCCTTATAATTTCGAGTTCTTTCTTTAGCAAATAATTCTCCTTCTCAAAAACACTGTTCATATTAATTTTCTTCTGTTTACTTTTCTCAATGACATTGTCTTGTGTTTCATTGTCCTCATATTCACACTCACTAACACCATCAGTTACATTCGTCGCTAAACTGTTGTCTTCGATTGGACACACACCTCTTTCGTTCTGCGGTATGTCGTTGAGTCGCAAAACTAGTGCACTTTTTGTGCCAGCCGTCGGCAAGTTCAGCTGCTGAAGCCATCCACGCAACTGCGCAGCCGTATACTTGTTTGGATTTATTTCATCCATTTTCCAATAGTTCCGTTCACATAAAAATAAATTCTTCACGATATTCGCTTCAACACTTTTCTTTTCCTTGTTTCGTCTTTGTTTTCGCACTGATTTACTTTAAAAAGTGTTCTCAACAACAACAAAATTTTTCTTATCTTTCCCGTTTGTCTCTTTTACACTTGCAGTCTGTTATTTACGAACAAAAAAAAATTTCTTTTTTCTCATCTGATTTTCTCCTTCACTTGTTGTTCATTTGAAACAATGTTCCCAAGAAAAATTTATCTCTTTTTTTTTCTTTTCTCACTTTAAATTATTTTCGTTCTTCCTTCCACACTTGTTGCTTAACTTAAACAATGTTCTCACAAAAACTTTTTTATTTTTTTTTTGCACTTTTTGTTCTTTATATCCCACTTCTGAAATTGTAGCAAGTAGCATGCGCGAACGAATAAAACAACTTATCTGTTCAACTTTTATAACAAGACTGACTTCTCTATGCTTTATTAAGTATTTAGACAGTATTACTTTTACATAAAAAAAACAATGTGGAAAAGAATATAAGAAAACATAACTGTTGTTTAACGACAATGGACATGAATAAACAAGGATGAGTATACTTAAACTATACAGTTACATATAAATAATATATTAATAATAAAAAATGCTTGTTGGATAAAGGGAAACATGCCAAACGGGGAAGTATACCACATATTGGCTACATTTCTATTTAGCGCACTTTGAAAAATATGTACTTGTTAAATTAAGTTTCCAACACTTTCGTTCGATGTTTGAATTGAATTTTAAATTAAGTGCAACAAATTCTACATACACAACATACTCCCTATACTCTTCAATATACATACATATTTCCAATTTTAAACTACCAAAAATTTTCTGTAAATTACAAACTTTCAACTATAGTTTATTAATAATTCATTGTCGTTAAAAGTATTTAACTTTTCTTTTTTTCCCAGATTAGGTTCATAAACATTTCCTTCTTTTGATTTTCTTAAAAAAAGAAAAATTTTGTTGTTTTTTCTCCTTTTAAAATCATTAAAAGTCATGGCAAATTTTGTAAAAGATTCTCATACATATTTTATTTACAATATTTTATATTCTAAATCAGAAATGTTTCACAAGTATGTTGGTTGATATCACTGACTGTTTTCCTTTGGTTGTTTGGATGGCAAAGATAAAATGCAATTGTTGTTGCTTTTAACCCCAACATAAAATATACAGTAAATTCTCTAAAACAAAAAAAAGCAACAATAGCCAAGTTTCAGACAAAACCAAAGCGGAAAAAGTGTATTTAACCAACAAACCAAAATACCCATAAAAATACACACACGCACACAGTCACTTACTCATGGACTGAATGCCAGTGAAAACCGAGCAAAGTCTGTCTGTCTGTCTGTAAATGCGTTTAAATGAATGTAGACTGACGCACCATTATACCAAGAAATGAAAAGTGGGGATTTAATGCAGACTCTTCTCCTTTTTTTTCATCTCCAAATTTTTACCCAATTTCGTTATTTTTGTTTTTTTGGTGGATTGTTAAGGGTTTCTCCATGTCGTTGTTGATGACGCTGACGGAGACAATAAATGTAAAGGCTGTTTGTCGTTCGTTGTGTGTGCATCAGTATGTGAGTGTCTGTTTGTATGTGAGCAATTTTTACCCACAATAACATCAACTACCAGCAAATGCAATTATTTAAGTGCTCGCTTACTTGGTACTTCATTGATGCAAAAACGAAAAAAAAAACCAAAAAGGACGAAAGAGTGAACAACAGATATATTCACTGTGAGTTTACAATTTAAAAGTGAATGCAACTTGTTTGGTTTGGAATGGGATGGAATGGTTTTGGCTTGGTATCGGTATCATTTTATTTATTTGTTTTGCTTTAGTGTGCGTGTGTATGAAAAAAGGGAAATACTTTAAGTACTGGCTGGACGAAAGTGTTTGAGGGTGCGTATGATGTCGGATAAGTTTCGATATGAATATTTGGCAAAGAAATTATACCTTTACAAAATATAGTCTAGTCTATAGTCTAGTCTATAGTCTAGTCTATAGTCTAGTCTATAGTCTAGTCTATAGTCTAGTCTATAGTCTAGTCTATAGTCTAGTCTATAGTCTAGTCTATAGTCTAGTCTATAGTCTAGTCTATAGTCTAGTCTATAGTCTAGTCTATAGTCTAGTCTATAGTCTAGTCTATAGTCTAGTCTATAGTCTAGTCTATAGTCTAGTCTATAGTCTAGTCTATAGTCTAGTCTATAGTCTAGTCTATAGTCTAGTCTATAGTCTAGTCTATAGTCTAGTTCTATAGTCTAGTCTATAGTCTAGTCTATAGTCTAGTCTATAGTCTAGTCTAGTCTAGTCTATAGTCTAGTCTATAGTCTAGTCTATAGTCTAGTCTATAGTCTAGTCTATAGTCTAGTCTATAGTCTAGTCTATAGTCTAGTCTATAGTCTAGTCTATAGTCTAGTCTATAGTCTAGTCTATAGTCTAGTCTATAGTCTAGTCTATAGTCTAGTCTATAGTCTAGTCCTATAGTCTAGTCTATAGTCTAGTCTATAGTCTAGTCTATAGTCTAGTCTATAGTCTAGTCCTATAGTCTAGTCTATAGTCTAGTCTATAGTCTAGTCTATAGTCTAGTCTATAGTCTAGTCTATAGTCTAGTCTATAGTCTAGTCTATAGTCTAGTCTATAGTCTAGTCTATAGTCTAGTCTATAGTCTAGTCTATAGTCTAGTCTATAGTCTAGTCTATAGTCTAGTCTATAGTCTAGTCTATAGTCTAGTCTATAGTCTAGTCTATAGTCTAGTCTATAGTCTAGTCTATAGTCTAGTCTATAGTCTAGTCTAGATAGTCTAGTCTATAGTCTAGTCTATAGTCTAGTCTATAGTCTAGTCTATAGTCTAGTCTATAGTCTAGTCTATAGTCTAGTCTATAGTCTAGTCTATAGTCTAGTCTATAGTCTAGTCTATAGTCTAGTCTATAGTCTAGTCTATAGTCTAGTCTATAGTCTAGTCTATAGTCTAGTCTATAGTCTAGTCTATAGTCTAGTCTATAGTCTAGTCTATAGTCTAGTCTATAGTCTAGTCTATAGTCTAGTCTATAGTCTAGTCTATAGTCTAGTCTATAGTCTAGTCTATAGTCTAGTCTATAGTCTAGTCTATAGTCTAGTCTATAGTCTAGTCTATAGTCTAGTCTATAGTCTAGTCTATAGTCTAGTCTATAGTCTAGTCTATAGTCTAGTCTATAGTCTAGTCTATAGTCTAGTCTATAGTCTAGTCTATAGTCTAGTCTATAGTCTCTATAGTCTAGTCTATAGTCTAGTCTATAGTCTAGTCTATAGTCTAGTCTATAGTCTAGTCTATAGTCTAGTCTATAGTCTAGTCTATAGTCTAGTCTATAGTCTAGTCTATAGTCTAGTCTATAGTCTAGTCTATAGTCTAGTCTATAGTCTAGTCTATAGTCTAGTCTATAGTCTAGTCTATAGTCTAGTCTATAGTCTAGTCTATAGTCTAGTCTATAGTCTAGTCTATAGTCTAGTCTATAGTCTAGTCTATAGTCTAGTCTATAGTCTAGTCTATAGTCTAGTCTATAATCTAGTCTATAGTCTAGTCTATAGTCTAGTCTATAGTCTAGTCTATAGTCTAGTCTATAGTCTAGTCTATAGTCTAGTCTATAGTCTAGTCTATAGTCTAGTCTATAGTCATAGTCTAGTCTATAGTCTAGTCTATAGTCTAGTCTATAGTCTAGTCTAGCTAGTCTAGTAGTCTATAGTCTAGTCTATAGTCTAGTCTATAGTCTAGTCTATAGTCTAGTCTATAGTCTAGTCTATAGTCTAGTCTATAGTCTAGTCTATAGTCTAGTCTATAGTCTAGTCTATAGTCTAGTCTATAGTCTAGTCTATAGTCTAGTCTATAGTCTAGTCTATAGTCTAGTCTATAGTCTAGTCTATAGTCTAGTCTATAGTCTAGTCTATAGTCTAGTCTATAGTCTAGTCTATAGTCTAGTCTATAGTCTAGTCTATAGTCTAGTCTATAGTCTAGTCTATAGTCTAGTCTATAGTCTAGTCTATAGTCTAGTCTATAGTCTAGTCTATAGTCTAGTCTATAGTCTAGTCTATAGTCTATAGCCTAGTCTAGTCTAGTCTATAGTCTAGTCTATAGTCTAGTCTATAGTCTAGTCTATAGTCTAGTCTATAGTCTAGTCTATAGTCTAGTCTATAGTCTAGTCTATAGTCTAGTCTATAGTCTAGTCTATAGTCTAGTCTATAGTCTAGTCTATAGTCTAGTCTATAGTCTAGTCTATATTCTAGTCTATAGTCTAGTCTATAGTCTAGTCTATAGTCTAGTCTATAGTCTAGTCTATAGTCTAGTCTATAGTCTAGTCTATAGTCTAGTCTATAGTCTAGTCTATAGTCTAGTTTATAGTCTAATCTATAGTCTAGTCTATAGTCGAGTCGATTTTAAAAATATAACATGCCCGAGGTATCCTACGCCATACTACAACACTTCCTCTTAACGTATGTGAAATTTCATAATTATTTCCGTATTTTTCTATTTCTACACCACTGTGGGCCGATTTTATCGTTCAGGCGAAATATTATATTATTTTAACATGTTGAGATCATTACTGTTCGGAATTTTATGAACATTCCAGAACTATATATTTAAACTTATTACACCCTCAACGTAGCGGTAGTACTTACAAACAGCAACAGTAGCAGCATCAATAGTAGTCATCCTGTTGATGCAATCACCAACATTTTTCTTGTTTATAATTTTATTTATTTTACTGTTTTTTTTTTTGCTGTTTGCAAAAAGGGGGTGAATGAAACTTTCGTTCGTTTAGCTTTGGTTGTAAGTTCTCATACTTCTTGTGGCGGAAATTTTTAGCTTGATTGTGATTTTAATTTTAATGAAAAATTACATATTTATTTTGTTTTTTTTTTTCTTTTGTATTTGTCTCTGCATCAAGGGTTACATTATTGTAATAACGGGTAAAATATTCGCGGAAGCGGAAGTTTTCAAATCATGTCCCCTTGATTTTGTTGGCTGCTTAATGTGCGCTACAATGAATGGGGTCAGTTTTAGTGATTTAGAAAGGTTATTAAAAATTTAACAAGGTATAAGTACTAGAATTTTAAAATGTTTCCAAAAAATGTATGTAAATGTTAAGAATTTAGTTAAAAGATTTTTATTTTTACTATAAATAGATCACGTTTGATTCGTTTTGAACTCATGCTGCCCGTTTAAACTTTAAATATTTTAAATAATATCCTTTATTTTAATACATTGCTTACATAAGGGTCTTCTTTTTCAAAATATAAATATAGACAGACTTTCATTAGCTTTTTCTAAACAAATAAATACTAGACAATTCTTTTATCTTTTGCATAAGTAAATAATAAATTTAGAAAAATAAAAGTCGTCCTTTTTTATTTCCCTCTACCACTTAAAAATGCCAATTAACCATTTTCACCAACAACAACTACAATAAATTCAGATTTATCTGTTCATCGACAATTTACAAAAATGTTATTCTTTCAATATTTTTTCTCTGATAACAATTGTTTTTGTTGTTGTTTTATTTGAACAACAACAATACCACTTCCAAATAGAAAAATAAAAGTAAAGGAAATATTAAAATGGGGGTGTTGTTCCTTATTTTTACATTATTTTTGTGTTTAAGTTTA